ATCAACTGATATATTGTATGCCACATTCGAATCATGATCCACTGGGGAAACAACAGGCGGCTGCTGGACATGATTACTGTTTAGATGATCATTTCCTTAATTCTCATTGCCTGGAAAGGGCTGCGGCTGTATTTCAGTGCTCATGTCATTTATATTGACAGGGAAGCTTGTATTGCAGCCAACACCAAGCAGGGTGTCTTGCTCCTGTGAAATGTTGCATTGGGCTGTGACATAATCAATCAATTGTTGGTCATCAGAGACCTGTGAATTTGACAGTTACCCAAAAAAAAACAAAAAAAAACTATTTGTGAGAGATGTGACCAAAATAAAATTTCAAATCTAACATAAGAAATTAAAGCAAGGTTTGAGTGAAGCATCATAAAACACCATACATCTTTGGAGACAAACAGCTCAATCAACCCTCTGCACTTGGAACCAAAACTCTGGTCCCATCTCTTTCCTGCAAAATGTAAGTAGAAATATATAGTTACATTTAATTATATGTTCAGAAAAGGACTTTCTTTTGGAACTAGCTAGGAAAAATGGGAACTTGAGCTCACTGCCATGGCACTTGAATCTCTGTTAGAAGATGAGTTCAACAAATGGGCTGGTTTGATATTAATGGATGTGCATAAATCCTGCTCATGAGCACCCATGGTTAATGATATGAAACACTAATTAATTTCTTTTGTCAAGATATGTATGGTAGTTGGTAATTATGATTGAATGAGTAAACAAAAATGCGAAAATGAAAAGGATATATAGGTACCCAGAGTCTAAGGACAGAGAAGAAGGAAGCTGGGCAAGAAGATCACAGGAATTTGTTCTTGAGCGCTGCGTTGTATCTCTGCATGGAAGGACTGGATAAACTGGAAAAATGAGTTCATTTCCTCCATTAGTCTGAGTGTTCTCATCAGCCCCAGAAAAACAACAATCCATCAACTCAATAAACCTAAAAAATAATAAAATAAAATAAAAATTAGTCACAAAAAGAAACATGAATTAGTAACTGTTAATTAAAAGGTTCCTCTTAACCTTTGGTCTTCACTCAATTTTCAAATAACACAACAATCCTAGCCTTTCAAACCCACAAGGGGCCTAAGCCTCTCAGTCAGATTTTGCATAATGATGGCATATCTACAGAGAATTTATTCAATAATGGATATTTCTTTAAAGAACAATCTATGGAATCTCATAATATGCAGAGATAATAATATTCCAAAAGCCACAAGAGACCTCAATTTCTGAAATTCTTGTTACAATAATTCCTCAAAAGCTCCTTCACCCAGCCAGTCATGGCCAAAACCAAAAGTTCCAGCCATCGGTATGAACAGAAACCAAAAGGCATAAAAGTAAGACAATTTGTAACAGTTATAAGTGAAAACAATAACCGATTACAGCTAGCCAACGTGCTAATCTAATGATTCCAGAGTAAAAAGTAGAATCCAACCACTTAATTAAACTACCCACATGCAAAACAAGAAGAAAAACAGATTCGGATCAAACACTTTCCCCAAATTACACCAACCAGTAGTGACACAAAAAAACAACAGATTATAATGCAACTGCAAGCCCATTCCCAGGTCTCTAATATTGACTGATACGAAATCCACGGTAACTGAGTCAAAATGGTACTCCTTAACGATATGGCATGAAAATTAGAAAATACTATCAAGTAAATGAGCCAAGTTTCGACCCCGCATTCATAACATTGTAGCAAATTCACAATCAGACCATTCAAACCAACAGGAAGAGAAACTAAACAGAAAATAATTCCAATTATGGTAGCAAAACTCACAAGACAGGAAATAATCCCCAAGTCAGCAAATTTTGTATTTAGGGTTCCCATGACTTGTGCTTGCTTCGGCTTCCAAATCTCAATCTCAAGCTCAAATTTGCAGGTAAACTTTTTCAATTTCGGGTTTCAGACTTCCAGTCAATCGCAGTGTTCAAAAAATGGGGCTAGGCGGACGACTAGGCGGCTAGGCGGGCGCTAGGCGGCTAGGCGGGCGCTAGGCGGCTAGGCGGGCGCTAGGCGGTTAGGCGGGCGCTAGGCGGCTAGGCGGCTGGGCGGACCTCCTAGGCAGGTTGGGTCATTTTTCGGTGCCGAACAAGGAGGACGAAGCAGCCGAAACTTGACTGCGCCTGCAAGCTCCGTCCTATGAGAGTGCAAGCTTCGTGTTTGTTTCAAATATATTCGAAGAGTATAGCCGATCGGCTATACCCTTAAAATATTCGAATATATTAATATTTAAAGAGTATAGCCGAACGGCTATACGTTTGAAATATCCAAAAAGGTCTTTATTATTTTATTTTATAAATAGTATAGCCGGTCGGCTATATTTCTGAAATAATATATTTAAACAGTATGGCCGCTCGGCTGTACTGGTTAAATTATATATTTTAAAGGTATAGATTGCTTTCAAAAATAAAAAACAAAGAAAATTTGAAAGCATAAGCAAAAACATGCCATGTCCTAAAATCCTATGTGCCATATCAAATACAAAGTGCTTCTCTACATGTCTTTAACAGATGAATGCATCTCTCCTTCAAGAACACAGACAATCGCATTGTTCCAATCAGGTAGGTCCTAAAATGAAGGAGCTAAAGGAAAGCTAATATGTTTGACAGCAGTAGTGGGAAATCACTTCAAAAGCCTCAAGACATGGATTCATACCACTAGCATCTTACCAGCTCTTAATTCATTGATATAGTGAATTGGAAAATAATCAATTAAAAATTGATACGAAAGTACTTACAAATTGATACCATTAGCATCTTACAAATTGATAAAATTTCAAATCTAACATAAGAAATTAAAGCAAGGTTTGAGTGAAGCGTCATAAAACATCATGCATCTTTGGAGACAAACAGCTCAATCAACCCTCTGCACTTGGAACCAAAACTCTGGTCCCATCTCTTTCCTGCAAAATGTAAGTAGAAATATATAGTTACATTTAATTATATGTTCAGAAAAGGACTTTCTTTTGGAACTAGCTAGGAAAAATGGGAACTTGAGCTCACTGCCATGGCACTTGAATCTCTGTTAGAAGATGAGTTCAACCAAATGGGCAAGAAGATCACAGGAATTTGTTCTTGAGCGCTGCATTGTATCTCTGCATGGAAGGACTGGATAAACTGGAAAAAATAAGTTCATTTCCTCCATTAGTCTGAGTGTTCTCATCAGCCCCAGAAAAACAACAATCCATCAACTCAATAAACCTAAAAAATAATAAAATAAAATAAAAATTAGTCACAAAAAGAAACATGAATTAGAAAATACTATCGAGTAAATGAGCCAAGTTTCGACCCCGCATTCATAACATTGTAGCAAATTCACAATCAGACCATTCAAACTAAACAGAAAATAATTCCAACTGTGTGGTAGCAAAACTCAGAGGACAGGAAATAATCCCCAAGTCAGCAAATTTTGTATTTAGGGTTCCCATGACTTGTGCTTGCTTCGGCTTCCAAATCTCAATCTCAAGCTCAAATTTGCAGGTAAACTTTTTCAATTTCGGGTTTCAGACTTCCAGTCAATCGCAGTGTTCAAAAAATGGGGCTAGGCGGACGGCTGGGCGGCTAGGCGGGCGCTAGGCGGCTAGGCGGGCGCTAGGCGGCTGGGCGGACCTCCTAGGCGGGTTGGGTCATTTTTCGGTGCCGAACAAGGAGGACGAAGCAGCCGAAACTTGACTGCGTCTGCAAGCTCCGTCCTATGCGAGTGCAAGCTTCGTGTTTGTTTCAAATGTATTCAAAGCGTATAGCCGCGCGGCTATACCCTTAAAATATTCGAATATATTAAGATTTAAAGTATAGCCGAACGGCTATACGTTTAAAATATCCAAAAATGGGCCGCCTAGGCGGGCTAGGCGGGTCCTTATTATTTTATTTTATAAATAGTATGGCCGGTCGGCCGTACTCCTGAAATTAACCCTTGAGGTCAATATTGATGTCTCCAATATGTCAATATGAAATAGAAATAACAATCGCTACTCGACAAAGATCTATTTCCAGATCAGAAAGAAAAATTTCCTTGAGGCCATTGACAAGTGAGAATATCAATTTTTTTTTAAGCTTCTTATAATCCAAACATAAACAATCTCTAAAAAAATTCCATCTTCTGCATGATTTTGGTTCATTCTTGATAGCAATTGTCGCGCCAAGGCACTAGATATCCTCATGAAGGATCTCAAAATTTTTGCCAAAGGTAATGAGGAGCTGTTCAAAGAAATGCATCACATGTGTATGGGTTCAATCCAACAAGGATCATAAGGCACTCTCTATGTGTGGAGATATAATGTTTATGAGGAAGAATATGATGAAAGAACCTAGGCAAATAATTGAGGCAAATCCAGTTTTCCGTGGCAAACTGAAGTATCCTAGCATCAAAAGTCATAGATTTACATAAACTCATTAACCAAAGGTATTGCTTCCTCTCTAGTTTTGGTCTTCCTTTCTATTTTGTGATTGCATATGTTCATACATATGCCTGTGCGCGTTTGTGTGAGAGAGAGAGTATTTGTTATTCTCATATTTAGTAAAAGATTAAGTCACTTTTCAGTTTTTTGTAGTTGGGAGAGACACTGACTTGTGTGTTTAACTTGACAGCTTGAATCGGCAGCATTAACAGTGTAAAGACCCTCGTCCAAATCCAGTCATTAAGACTCTTTTCGATGATCGTGTTTGTGAATGGCAGGACTGTTTGTCTTTGTCTCTATCGACTGGGAACAGTTTGCAAGTAAGATATGTTCTGGTAAACTGAAATTCTTTTCGTATTGGTCCTCATTAACCAATGTTTCCTGCTCATCAGCCATACAAGCTGATTTTCTTTTTCTATTTTTAAACAAGATTTTTTTTAGTCTTTCTGGTTTCTTCTAAGATTGCTCTAACCTTCTGTATTTAGCCTTCACAAGCAACATCAAATCCACTTCCAACTTCTTCTGCTGAGCCAAAAATTTATATGTAACACAAGATGCGCTCTCCGGGAACAGTATCTCTCAATGCTGCAAAGAGCCGAGGTATTTTATTTTAGTTCTTCAAGTGATGTTGTTGGGTACCGGTACGTACCCTCTAATTTATGTTTGAAGTGTGTCGTCATTTTACACATTGCATAGTTGTTATTATTAACTTTTGATTAAATTTTTGTGGCTACAGCTATAGAGGTTATTGACTATCCACGTGCTTGTCCAAAAAAATATGTTCTTTCTGATTTTGGATGAGGTAATCTGAATCAATTTTATGTACAGAATTACACAATTATAGAACTTGTGTATCTTGACCTTGGTTTTCTTTCATTTGTTTAGGTAAAATCAATTGTCACTGATCCTGGCCAAAGTCACCTGTCCGCGGTTGCCATACCCAATGTTTTGCCCACTACTTTTGCACTGACACTAAATGAGGGCTCATCTCCAATGAGCATGGATTTTCATCCCACTTGGCAGACTCTTCTTCTATGTTAAGTAATGAGAAACTATGTTCTTTTTTTCCTTCTTTTTTTCTCCCATCGTTTATAAATTTCCTGTCTTTTTAGGATGATTGTGTGCGGTAACTACTTTTGATAGTTCACTCATGAATCCTGCTAATGCGATTCTTCAGTTGGAACCTGGGGGTGTTGGAAACATATATAGGACTATGGGATGTTAGTTCAAGGAAAAAGTTGCTTTCAATAAATTTTAGAGTCTGGAATCTTGACGCAGGCCCAATGGCCTTAAAGGTGCATCTGCTTCTGGATTACGTACTACGTACTCTCTCAACCTTACTGATATGATCCGAAATTTGAACCAATGTCAATTATTTCAGGAAGCTCTGGTCAAAGATTCATATGTATCTGTTAATCGTATCCGACAGAGTCCTGATGGTTCTATATTTGATGAGAATGTTCTCATACTTAAAATGGTATGGAGTTGCTGATTTTCAGTTCTTGTAGTTCATATTCACTGCCGTCGTGTTCTTCAATGAACTGGGGTTGCATATGCAAAGCGCATTGTGCAATTATATTCTTATAATGGGGGCAACAACAATTGGAAGTAAGTTACGAAAAAGAACACAAATTCTCAAGGAAACTGCAACTTTTGAGTATGTGACTATAAACCCAACCCATCATTTTTCTTACGTAGATTGATGCTCACTTAGGAAGTGTAAATGATTTTGGCATTCTTTTCCCCTCACGACCAACTTTTGGTCATAACTTGTGCTGATGACAAGACCGTCAAGGTTGGTTTCATTAATGTATGTTTAAGGTTTGGGATATATTTTGTAGCCATAGACTGTTTACTTTTGAAGGTCATGAAGCTCCTGTCTATTCTGTCTGTCCTCATACCAAAGAAAATGTCCATGTAAGGGCCACTTTGGGTATTGATGTTGTGGTTCTGGTGATGTTTTTGTTTTAAATCATCTGATTTACTTTCCGGTTCCTGCAATATATTATCCAACACTTGTTTTCATGCTTCATGCCTCAGTTGTCTTTTCAACATCAGTGGATGGCAAGATCAAAATATGGTTATATGATAGCTTTGAAGGCAGTGCTGTACCAAACTGGCTCATAGTGCTGATGTTCAAAGGTTCAACTTATATGGCCTGTGATTGCCATCTTTTATTTCCTGATTGATATCTTTGGGTGAATATAGTAATGTTAGTTTTGATTGAGATCATGTAGCCCTTTTTTCATGTGGGATCAGCCAAGGAGGGAAACAATCAGAGCCAGGGGCGACCAAGTGTAAAAACATGGATTTGTTTTTTTGTTTTTGATATTAAGAGAGATTACATGAGCCTCAACTAAACCAACATCTTCCATTGCAAAAATGCGATGAAGTGAACATTGAACTCCTATCAAAGACTTTTTTTATATTTATTTTGTTCGAACTACACAAATATAAGAAATCCAGGCCTAGATTTCTTCTTTATGAATTTCTGACTCCTCAATCTTCTGCTTTCAAATACTTCATTCCTAGTCCTAGATCGAGGACACAATACAAAGATCATAGTAACCAGTACTGTGTTGTCTACTGGACTGCTGATCCTGGGCCTAACCCTGCTATTATATGTGAGGAAGAACCAGCAACAAATATATGGTAAGCTATTTGATTTTCTACTCTTCTGGCCCTCCATCTTCTAAGATAGGTAGGTAATGTTTGCTGTTGCCTCTCTGGTTTCTAAGCTAAGGTTCCATGCTACATTATTTACTTCACTACGTACTTCACAGGAGAACTGAAGCCCGGCCAAAAGGAAGATCTGGAATTACCATTATTTGACTTGGCCGCTGTTGTTTGTGCAACCAAAAACTTTTCAAACAACAATAAACTTGGAGAAGGTGGTTTCGGATCAGTCTTTAAGGTAAAATCAAATACAGTTCTCCCTACAGTTAGCTTGACAGTTTCCACATGTCATTTTGGTCAGGACTAAGGTGGTGTAATTTTTATTTATTTATTCTGTTCTTCGTGGGTTGGTTTTGTGTTCCTATGCAAGAGGAGGAGGAGACATATCTTTCTTTTTCTTTTTTTCTATCGGCAAACAAGAGGGCGTGATCAAATGTCAAAATCTATAACAGAAATGCAATATCCAAAGAATGAAAAGCAGTCCAACCAAGAAGAACCATCAGTGGATGAATATTGAATGCATAAAGATTTATCAAGTTTCAAGCAAGAAGAACCAAACCAATCGATCTACTGCTTAACCAAACCAGAAATAAATAGTCAGAATTTGACATTGGGGCCCAAAAACCGAACCTTGTTATTGGCAAGACCATAGAAACTCCATGTTAGGATAGCTTCATCATTTCCTTCCACCGAAGACAGACACCAAGTCAGCAAATTTTGTATTTAGGGTTCCCATGACTTGTGCTTGCTTCGGCTTCCAAATCTCAATCTCAAGCTCAAATTTGCAGGTAAACTTTTTCAATTTCGGGTTGCAGACTTTCAGTCAATCGCAGTGTTCAAAAAATGGGGCTAGGCAGACGGCTAGGCGGCTAGGCGGGCGCTAGGCGGCTGGGCGGGCCTCCTTTCCAGTGCCGAACAAGGAGGACGAAGCAGCCGAAACTTGAATGCGTCTGCAAGCTCCGTTCTATGCCAGTGCAAGCTTTCGTGTTTGTTTCAAATGTATTCAAAGCGTATAGCCGTGCGGCTATACCCTTAAAATATTCGAATATATTAGTATCTCAAGAGTATAGCCGACCGGCTATACGTTTAAAATAGCCAAATGTATTTAGAAAGTAAAGCCGCGAGGGGATAGAGATTATTTTATTTATACAAGCGATATTAGGGAATGAGAATTTAAATACTTTCTGATACCTCCCATTCTAATGATTTTCAGCTATTAGCTCATTGGGCAAAAATAAAAAATGAATTTTAATTATAACAAATAATACAAGTTAAGCCCATAAATACAACAACAACAACAAAATCCCTCAACATTTTGTGGATCAAAGGATGTTGAATTTCATAGTATAAAATTGCTTGTATAGCAATTTACTTTCTAGAAGAAAAATTGGATACAAAACAGTCTAACGAGACAACGAAGAGAAGTTTGCAGCTCTGTTTTGAAATTTATTGAAGGTATCAGAGGTCATATGACATTGATATATGAACTATTCAAAATGAGAATTCAAACAACATGTGTTAGATGAGAAGTAGCATCTCATTCTTAAATATAACATATTACTTCATTTGTCTATTGGTTGTGCCTGTTGTTAAGCTGGTGCAACCAACATTCTTTCACCAAGAAACTTCTCTTGAACCTCAAAGAAATTTAGCTAGGAAAACCTTTGGTGGTTTGGGAAAGTTAAGATAGAAACAGAGGCAGAGGCAAGGCTGAAGAACAATTGCGAGCACATGTGATATTACACAAAATGTAGCGAAGGAATTTAGAATGTCCATTTTCCAAATTAAGCACACATTTTATAATGAAATCAAGATAGGAACTTATAACGAGCCCTCATTAGAGTACAGTGTCCAAAAACACAAGATGAACACCACACCACTCCACACTCAACACATATAATTGCTCTTCAATGTTGTAAATATAAAAAAAGATGAGATATCGCTTAATGCAATTAAATAGTTTTTCATTCCTCGTCGCCCAAATCATTGAACGCATCGCACAAATCATTGAGCATTTCATCCCACGTCTCCTCCATATGCACTTGAAATGAGTATCCATCAACAAGAAGAACAAAATTGTCCATACCACGAAGAAATTCAAGAAATTCAGAACCCTCTCGCACATAAATTTGCTAGTAAACTCGAAGTCACAAGGCCAGGACACCTGCACACATTCCACAACAACAAAAATGCTACATTTACATTTACAAGGAAAATTAAACAGGGTATACTTGAGGGTATGATCAAATATCAAAATCTATAACAGAAATGCAATATCCAAAGAATGAAAAGCAGCCCAACCAAGAAGAACCATCAATGGATGAATATTGAATGCATCAAGATTTATCAAGCTTCAAGCAAGAAGAACCAAACCAATCAATCTATTGCTTAACAAACCAGAAATAAATAGTCAGAATTTGAGATTGGGGCCTACAAACTGAACCTTGTTATTGGCAAGACCATAGAAACTCCATGATAGGATAGCTTCATCATTTCCTTCCACCGAAAACAGACACCAAGTCAGCAAATTTTGTATTTTTTTCTTGTGGGCCATGCCGTCAATCCGAAGGAAGAAGATAATAAGTCGGAGTTGGCAGAGGGGGGAATTGTTGTAGTTGTCATTGGTGTGGTGAGGTGAACATGTCGTTTGGGAGAGAGCCTAGAGAGAAGAGAATAAGGCGAGAAACAGGGAGAGGAATGAAATTAGATGAATTAAGAGTCTCATGATCTCTATTTCTATGGACCTGACTTGCGCTTGCTTTGGCTTCCCAATCTCAATCTCAAGCTCAAATTTGCAGCTAAACTTTTTCAATTTCGGGTTTCAGACTTTCAGTCAATCGTAGTGTTCGAAAAATTGGCCTAGGCTGGCGGCTAGGTGGCTAGGCGGGCGCTAGGTGGCTGGCGGGCTTCCTAGGCAAGTTGGGTCTTTTTTGGGTGCCGAACCTAGAAGACGAAGAAGCCGAAACCGAAGAAAACAAATCGATGCTTGAGTTGATAGAGAAGCGAAATGGCTATGACTTCGACTGTAACCTCTGTCCTCTGCGAGTGCAAGCTTCGTGTTCCTTTCGAATATATTTAAAGAGTATAGCCTATCGGTTATACTTTTAAAATATTCGAATATATTATATTTCAAGCTTATAGCCGAACGGCTATACTTTTAAAATATTCTACGAATATAGCCGGGCGGCTATAATATTTAAATATACAATTTTATCATATCATTTTAGGGTTTGGGGATAAAATACCACTTTAGTCCAATGGGCTAAAGTTATTTCTTCAATTCTTTTATTTGTATAAGCGATATTGGGGAATGAGAATTTAAATACTTTCCAATACCTCCCATTCTAATGATTTTCAGCTATTGGCTCATTGGGCAAGAATTAAAAAAATTGTATTTTATTTATAACAAATAACATGGGCTAAACCCATAAATACAAAAAAAAAAAAAAAAAAAAAAAGGGATCCACCAACATTTTGTGGATCAAAGACTATTGAATTTCATATAATAAAATTGCTTGTATAGGAATTTACTTTCTAAAATGTCCATCGTAATAATGAACTAAACCCAATTATTGCCTTTTTCTTATTGCACTTGACAACCCCGCTCTTCTGCTATGAGATATATTAGTCCACGCCGTATTCTATGCATATGAAAAATTGGATACAAAACAATCTAACGAGACAACGAAGAGAAGTTTGCAACTCTGTTTTGAAATAAATCGAAGGTAATAGAGGTTATATGGCATTGATATACAAAATATTCTAAATGAGAATTCAAACAACATGTTCTAGATGAGAAGTAGCATCTCATTCTTACATATACCATACCCACGTGCACCTGAAATTCCCAGTGTGAAGAGGGAAGGTAAGTGCAATACCTCATTTGTTGCTCGCAAGTAAAGTAGATCCAACCTTTCATGAGGACGTCGGTTTGATAAATAAGCAAGTTGCATCCAATCATACATTAATACTGGCAATCACAGCCCACAATATACTCAATTTTAATAAAGAGAAATATAAAGTTACCCATAAGCTGAAGCACTCAGGATCTTGTGGTGAAGGGATCATTGCTTCCCCTCCAAGAAGTCTCTCAAGTTGTCTTCGATCTGTAAAGAGATACTATCATACGTCAAAAAGGCACCTAGGGATACTTAACACAAGAATAGGGGAAGAAACCATTCTTATGTACACTGGTATTACATGTAGGATAATCTCCCAAGTCTCAAGTACCTCTGTGTTAGATTTGATGGGGGAGATGGTGCCTCAATGGAGAAACTTTTTTCCAAGTACCCCGTACTTGAAGATTTTACTATACTTGGGAATTTTAGAGTTGATTCAAAATCTCTGCCCCTGAATTGAAGACAAGCATCACAAATACTAGAAATAATTGTACGTTCCAACTCTTCATCAATTCCCTAAAGCTTGAAAACCTGATTGTCGATGTCTTCAGTTGGTGCTCATATGCCATTTTATGTTTTCTAAAATCTGCAGCCGTCCCTATAGGCTTCCAATAGGTGAAAGTCTAGCCTGTGATTACCTTGTGCCTCCATTTACTATAGGAATTTCCAATGGTACGTATCTTTCTCTTCTAGCTTCTAGTTTGGATGGTTTATTTTTGCCTGCTATCTTTAAACGTTTGAAATAGTTGGAGCTAGGACTAATTCATTCTAGTTATTGGACATTGCTCATAGAATATCTGAACCAATCACCTAATCTAGAATCTCTTAACCTAGAGCTTGATAGTATTTTGAACACCGAAAACAACCTTTTCAGTCCACCAACATTTGTGCCTACTTGTTTGTCTTCACACATTAGGATAATCTCCATGAAGGGGTTCCAAGGAAAACGTGATGAGATGGATGCGACTAAGTATTTGTTGAAGTTCGGTTTGGTTATGAATAAAATGATTGTTTCTACTGCTACTGTTGCTGGTGTTGTCATTCCTTCCCTCCCGAAATAGGAGATATACAAAGAAATTTCAATGTTTGAATGTGGTTCAGAGAGTTGCCATGTTCAAGTTCTATGAGACGCAATGAAGGTCTCGGTTTCACATCAGTTCAAGGATTTCTCAGAGTTCGTTCTATACTTTCTGAGTTTGGAAATGTCAATTTCATTTGTTTGTTTCACTCATCTGTTAGATTAAAGTGGAGATTATATTAGAAATAATTTAATCCAACTTATTTTGGAACTTTTAATTTTCTGTACAACTCCATGATCATTTTTTGGTCATTGAATTGTTGGTTTTCTAGCTAGAGTGAACTTGCAACAATGGACAGTTTTTACATGTCAATATTTTATTTTTCAATTTGGGGTTTCAGACATTCAGCCAATTGAAGTGATCAAAAATTTGGCCAAGGCGGGCGCTAGGCTGCTAGGCAGTTTGGGTCTCTTTTCGATGCCGAGCCCGGAGTTAGAAGTCTCTATCTTTACATACATTGAAAGAGCCCAAATTAACGCAGAAGCCGAAACGGAAGAAAAAAAATAATAATCAAAGCTTGAGTTGAGAGAGAGGCTCAAGACCGAGTCTTTGAAGCTTGGAAACGGCTGTGACTCCGACTGCAAGCTTTGTGTTCGTTTCTCTATCCCCAAAATGTGAATTTCATAGTATAAAATTGCCAGTATAGTAATTTACTTTCTAAATTGTATCCATCGTAATTATGAACTAAACCCAATTATAGCCTTTTTCTTATTGCACTTGACAACCCTGCGGCTATACTGTTAAAATATTGGATAATTTAGCTTCTAGCAATTTTGAATGTGCCTTGGAAACATCATTCACAGTATGAGAGCATACAATTTAGACCTGGCAATATTACACACGACCCGTTAACACGACATGAATTTGCACGAAATTATCAGTATTTGGGTTGAGCTTAATGGGTCTGGTTGAAAACGGGTGAACCCATTAGTCACCCGTTATGCTAACGGGTCGTGTCGGGTCAATTCGCGAATATTCGCATCCACCCGTTAAGGAGGGTAATTTTGTAATTTTGCAAAGAGTTTTTGAAAAAAATATCTCAATTCCTAACACCAAACAGACGCTTCTTCTTCTTCTTTTTTTTTCTATCATTTTTCATCTCTCCATTTCTTCCATTCTCTTTTTTAATATTATTTTTCCTTCAACCCATTCTCTCTTCGTGACTCTTACCTTTTTTCTTCCACTCAACAGACTCAACCCAGCTAAGAGAAGAGTGGTGAAACGGAGACCTCCATCACGACGACGTCACCTGAGATTTTAGATTTCTTCATGTTGTTCCCCATCTCTCTCGGCCTAAGCCTTTATCTCTCAGTCAATTTTCTTTATTCCTATGTTTTTGCTGTTGTTGTTGGGTTTTAAGGTTGGATTAAATGAGAGTGACTGTGAAAGTGGTGAAGAGAGAGAGAGAGAGAGAGAGGACCAATTTTGTAAGATATCTATGAGAGAGAGAAGTTTTTTTGTCTTGGGGGAGGGGAGACTGAAATGAAGAGGAAAAGAGGGAAGAAAAGTTTAGGGAAAGAAGAGTTAGCATTGGGCGATAGTTTTTTTTTTGTTTTTTTGTTTTTTTTCTGTTTATTCTTAACGGGTCATGCGAGTTTTTCGCGAATTGTAACGGGTCGTGTTTGGGTTTGATAATTTTCACCCGTTAAGTTAACGGGTCGTGTTGTGTCAACCCGTTAACTTAACGGGTTAACACGAACACGACCCGAAACCCGTTAAAACGACCCGTTTGCCAGATTACAATTGCCAGGTTTGCCATTCGGATACTCTGTCAGAGCATCTCCAGGAGAGTCTCCAAATTTTACTCAAATTCTAGTTAAAATAGCTAACCACTTAAAAGGTGATTCCTCCAGCAATGCTCTCTACTTTAGCTAACCTTAAATATTTATTATTTTAAATTCATTAAAAAATTTAAAAGAAAGAACTCAAAATCAAAAGTAGCCCACCACCGAAACCTTTCTTTTTCTTCTCTCTCTCTCTCTCTCTTTCCCTCTCTCTCTTGCGCAGCTTCCAGCTTTTTCTTCTCTCTCTCTCTCTCTCGCTCTCTTTCCCTCTCCCTCTCTTGCTCAGCTTTCAGATTTGGTGAGCCTTGAATTTCTCTCTCCTCTTGCTAGATGAAGTGAGCCAACATGGCAAGATAGGTAGTGAAGCTGCCGGAGTGTTGTTTTTCCTTCTTTTTCGCTAATATACCAAAATTTCCTCGAGGCCATTGACAAGTGAGAACATCATTTTTTTTTTTATGCTTCTTACAATCTATACATAAACAATCTTTAAAAAAATAAAAAAATAAAAAAAGTATGTTCTGCATGTTTTTGGTTCATTCTTGACAGCAATTGCCGCTCCAAGGCCTTAGATACCCTCATGAAGGATCTCAAAGTTTTTGCTGAAGGAAATGAGGAGCTGTTCAAAGAAATGCATCAATTGTGTATGGGTTCAATCCAACAGGAATCATAAGGCACTCTCTATTTGTGGAGATATAATGTCTGTGATGAAGACTGATGAAGGAAAATGCTAGATCATTGTTCATTATCATATAAATAAGGTACAACAAGCACCATATATGTATCTCTTCAATATGATTGATATATTTGCCAATGATCCTCGTACAACAACTTGTATAAGAATTGAAGAAATATTACTACATAACATTCTATAGTAGTATTGGCTACTATATTTTCACATCAGAAAAATACTAAGATACAAATTCAAAAAATCATTGGTCTTATCATCGACCTCGAGGGTCTTGCCATCTGTTGGTACTAAGCAATGAATCCCATCCTTTATCTACAATTAAGAATCATACAAGACATCAACTATACATGCAAAACCATATAGAAAAGATGAAATTTTTTATGGTCATTCGTGTTCAGCTCAACACATGACCTCTATCAAATACAAGGGCATTATCAATTCTCACAAGAACAAGGACATTCTTCATGCCGTTCTCTGAGTTGTAAGTGACACGTTGCAGGACATTCATTGGAGACGTGCTGCAGAGAAGGATTCGATCAACTGATATATTGTATGCCACATTCGAATCATGATCCACTGGGGAAACAACAGGCGGCTGCTGGACATGATTACTGTTTAGATGATCATTTCCTTAATTCTCATTGCCTGGAAAGGGCTGCGGCTGTATTTCAGTGCTCATGTCATTTATATTGACAAGGAAGCTTGTATTGCAGCCAACACCAAGCAGGGTGTCTTGCTCCTGTGAAATGTTGCATTGGGCTGTGACATAATCAATCAATTGTTGGTCATCAGAGACCTGTGAATTTGACAGTTACCCAAAAAAAAAAAAACAAAAAAAAACTATTTGTGAGAGATGTGACCAAAATAAAATTTCAAATCTAACATAAGAAATTAAAGCAAGGTTTGAGTGAAGCATCATAAAACACCATACATCTTTGGAGACAAACAGCTCAATCAACCCTCTGCACTTGGAACCAAAACTCTGGTCCCATCTCTTTCCTGCAAAATGTAAGTAGAAATATATAGTTACATTTAATTATATGTTCAGAAAAGGACTTTCTTTTGGAACTAGCTAGGAAAAATGGGAACTTGAGCTCACTGCCATGGCACTTGAATCTCTGTTAGAAGATGAGTTCAACAAATGGGCTGGTTTGATATTAATGGATGTGCATAAATCCTGCTCATAAGCACCCATGGTTAATGATATAAACCACTAATTAATTTCTTTTGTCAAGATATGTATGGTAGTTGGTAATTATGATTGAATGAGTAAACAAAAATGCGAAAATGAAAAGGATATATAGGTACCCAGAGTCTAAGGACAGAGAAGAAGGAAGCTGGGCAAGAAGATCACAGGAATTTGTTCTTGAGCGCTGCGTTGTATCTCTGCATGGAAGGACTGGATAAACTGGAAAAATGAGTTCATTTCCTCCATTAGTCTGAGTGTTCTCATCAGCCCCAGAAAAACAACAATCCATCAACTCAATAAACCTAAAAAATAATAAAATAAAATAAAAATTAGTCACAAAAAGAAACATGAATTAGTAACTGTTAATTAAAAGGTTCCTCTTAACCTTTGGTCTTCACTCAATTTCAAATAACACAACAATCCTAGCCTTTCAAACCCACAAGGGGCCTAAGCCTCTCAGTCAGATTTTGCATAATGATGGCATATCTACAGAGAATTTATTCAATAATGGATATTTCTTTAAAGAACAATCTATGGAATCTCATAATATGCAGAGATAATAATATTCCAAAAGCCACAAGAGACCTCAATTTCTGAAATTCTTGTTACAATAATTCCTCAAAAGCTCCTTCACCCAGCCAGTCATGGCCAAAACCAAAAGTTCCAGCCATCGGTATGAACAGAAACCAAAAGGCATAAAAGTAAGACAATTTGTAACAGTTATAAGTGAAAACAATAACCGATTACAGCTAGCCAACGTGCTAATCTAATGATTCCAGAGTAAAAAGTAGAATCCAACCACTTAATTAAACTACCCACATGCAAAACAAGAAGAAAAACAGATTCGGATCAAACACTTTCCCCAAATTACACCAACCAGTAGTGACACAAAAAAACAACAGATTATAATGCAACTGCAAGCCCATTCCCAGGTCTTTAATATTGACTGATACGAAATCCACGGTAACTGAGTCAAAATGATACTCCTTAACGATATGGCATGAAAATTAGAAAATACTATCAAGTAAATGAGCCAAGTTTCGACCCCGCATTCATAACATTGTAGCAAATTCACAATCAGACCATTCAAACCAACAGGAAGAGAAACTAAACAGAAAATAATTCCAATTATGGTAGCAAAACTCACAAGACAGGAAATAATCCCCAAGTCAGCAAATTTTGTATTTAGGGTTCCCATGACTTGTGCTTGCTTCGGCTTCCAAATCTCAATCTCAAGCTCAAATTTGCAGGTAAACTTTTTCAATTTCGGGTTTCAGACTTCCAGTCAATCGCAGTGTTCAAAAAATGGGGCTAGGCGGACGGCTAGGCGGCTAGGCGGCGCTAGGCGGCTAGGCGGGCGCTAGGCGGTTAGGCGGGCTAGGCGGGCGCTAGGCGGTTAGGCGGGCGCTAGGCGGCTAGGCGGCTGGGCGGACCTCCTAGGCGGGTTGGGTCATTTTTCGGTGCCGAACAAGGAGGACGAAGCAGCCGAAACTTGACTGCGCCTGCGAGCTCCGTCCTATGCGAGTGCAAGCTTCGTGTTTGTTTCAAATATATTCAAAGAGTATAGCCGATCGGCTATACCCTTAAAATATTCGAATATATTAATATTTAAAGAGTATAGCCGAACGGCTGTACGTTTAAAATATCCAAAAAGGTCCTTGTTATTTTATTTTATAAATAGTATAGCCGATCGGCTATATTTCTGAAATAATATATTTGAACAGTATGGCCGCCCGGCTGTACTGGTTAAATTATATATTTTAAAGGTATAGCCAATTGGCGGTACTCCTTAAATAATATATTTAAAGGTATTGCTGTTGTAAAGGTCTTCAAAAACTACAACTGCAAATATCAAAAGAATATGAATGAACGATAAGAAACCCCACATAGAGCTTAGATTACAGGAGTCAATATTTAGTGATATAAACAAACTTAATGCTTACCGGGGGTAGTTTCTGGGTTTAACCCTGCAATATTTCTGGCAACATCAATAGGATCAACGTTTGCAAGACTGCAAACTGAGGAAAACAATTAATAGAATACCCTTAGACCCAAATCCTCAATAGATTTGTGTACACAAAAGAGAGAGTGAATTGTTGGGAACATGGCCAGAAACTTGAGAAGTAAAACTTAAAATCTAAGCTCAATATCCTAACATATCAACTCTGTCAAGAATGGAGTGCACTTAAAATCAAAGTTCCATACCCTAAACTCTGTCAAGGATGGAGTGCAACTTTTATTTCGCTTTGCCACCACTCACCAAGAGCCACTTTTTTGTATGAATATATTGACAGGATTATCACACAATTATGATGGGTCGAGATTGAGTCTAGATGATCTTGATCACATTTCAACCTTGTCACTCGAGCCAAAACTCACCAATCTCTCTTTGACAAAGAAGAAAAGGGTCGGGATCACTAGTTATAAGTTTGGGCTCCAGTGGCTCTAACAAAAATTAAAGATAAACCCTATGAGGAGAGATGATCTAATCTGCAACTATATATAAGAAATCGGATGGTATCCATTATTAGTGGCAATCTACAAGCAGGAGGAACCCTACGAGGGTTCATGAAATGCATATTTACTTGAGTTAAACATTAAATAGCATCACCATCAACTCAATATGAAATAGAAATAACAAGGATATCTTTAGGACCTTCGTCCTGATGAACTCAATAAATAGCATCACCATCGAAATCGAAAAGAAAAAAGCACATAAATTCAGAATCACCAACGGATACTGAAAAATTGTTAGTTAAATTTAGTGATAATCTGAATGTTTAATCAACTAAAGGCAAGAGAGAACAATAGAAATTGCCATATTGTAAGATTAGTGCTGACTGCTACCATTCCATATGCTTTGCAACTGCGTCAGGCCTGAAATTGTTACACTCAATCATGAGAAAGAGGACTAAATTTTATCTGACAAAATCAATGATTAACTATAAAGACATAATAAACCTTCACTCCGTCATACCATCTTGAGGACTAAATTATTCAATTATAAAATTACTAAGCTATTCCAAATATGATTCATTCTGCCCACTCCCAAGCTCATTCACGTTTGTTTAAATTAACCCAAATATTATTAAGCAAATCCTGAATTGAAGCAACGTGTTCATAACCTGAAGAAGTGCTAGCAGTGCACTGACCTGAGAGAAGATGAAATCCATTCCCTAAGGGTTCGAACATTCAACATAGTTTCAGCTGTTGTAAAGGTCTTCAAAACTACCACAACTGCAAATATCAAAAGAATTATATATATGCCACAAATATTTTTCAGAAACGGAATACTGCCACTCTTTATGGGCCATCCTCTCCAGCAAACATTCGGTTACTCTTTTCTTTGAGGGATGCAGCCTGCATTGTGGCATAGACAACATTAATAAGAAAACACTATATTCACCCGATCCCTTCCCCCCACAAGACACTAGTTACGAATGGGCCAACCCCACCCCTGCCAATTTCCAAGGTTTTGGGCGTGGCACGTTGCCGTGAGTAGTCCAACAGTATCCCGTCAAAGTCACAATTAAGTTTATGTTTGTTTTAGGTGAACCTGGAGATGCTACTAGGATTGAATCCCATACTCAAGCTCATACAGATCCGACTATGGAGATCTAAATGTGAGTCGCTAAAACTCCAGCTTGATGTATTTGCAGAGATGCCAGACCAGCCAGGAAAAAAGAAATCTGAAGAAAAAAATTGTCATTCAAGTTTTCCAAAAATCGGCCGCCTAGGCGGGGGCTAGGCGGGTCCTTTTTATTTTATTTTATAAATAGTATCGCCGCATGAAATTATATATTTACATATGGCCGCGCCACTGTACTCTTGGAACTAAGTTCTATTCTTCCAAAAATGACACTCACATTTTTCCTCTCAACCAGATTTGATGTCTCCAATATGTCAATATGAAATAGACATAACAATCACTATGCGACAAAGATCTATTTCCAGATCAGAAAGCTAAATTTCCTTGAGGCCATTGACAAGTGAGAACATTTTTTTTAAGCTTCTTATAATCTATACATAAACAATCTTAAAAAACACCATGTTCTGCATGTTTTTGGTTCATTCTTGACAGCAATTGTCGCTCCAAGTCATTAGATATCCTCATGAAGGATCTCAAAGCTTTTGCCGAAGGTAATGAGGAGCTGTTCAAAGAAATGCATCAAATGTGTATGGGTTCAATCCAACAGGGATCATACAGAGGAAAACAAATTAATAGAATACCCTTAGACCCGAATCATCCATCCTCTGATAATAAATAAAAAATTATATATGCCACAAATATTTTTCAGAAACGGAGTACTGCCACTCTTTATGGGCCATGCTCCCCACCAAACATTCGGTTAATCATTTCTTTGAGGGATGCAGCCTGCATTGTGGCATAGACAACATTAATTAGACAACGCTATATTCACCCAATCCCTTCCCCCCACCAGACACTAGTTACGAACAGGCCAACCCCACCTCTGCCAATTTCCAAGGTTTCAGGCGTGGAACGTTGCTGATTTTCAGAGATGCCTTTACGTTGTTGACAAACGAGAGTAGCAAAAAACCTAGCTTGATGTATTTGCAGAGATGTCAGACCCGCTAGGAAAAAAGAAATCTATATAAAAAAAACGCCATCCAAGTTTTCCAAAAATCGGCCGCCTAGGCGGGCTAGGCGGGTCCTTATTGTTTTATTTTATAAATAGTATAGCCGGACGGCTATACGCCTGAAATAATATATTTAAACTGTATGGCCGCGCGGCTATACCCTTGAGCTCAATATGTCAATATTGATGTCTCCAATATGTCAATATGAAATAGAAATAACAATTGCTACTCGACGAAGATCTATTTCCAGATCAGAAAGCAAAATTTCCTTGAGGCCATTGACAAGTGAGAACATCATTTTTTTTTAGGCTTCTTGTAATCCATACATAAACAATATCTGGAAAAAAATACCGTCTTCTGCATGTTTTTGGTTCATTCTTGATAGCAATTGTCGCGCCAAGGCATTA